ACACACACACACACACACACACACACACACACACACACACACACACACACATATATGATGGATATTTTTGGTATTCCAATAAGAAATATATTAAGTAAGCTGGTAACATTAAACTCCTTTCCATTTGTTTCTAAATGCAAATGGCATTTTTCCTGTGCCTCACATTTTTTGGCTATTTCTATATGCAAGCATGCCAATTTCTTCTTTAAAATGCTATAGCTTAATGCAGGGTCTGTTCTATGTAAACTCTTCCCACCCCCAACTATTTTTAAAACATTCAAGTCTGATTATGATGAATTGTTCTGTATTCATATTTCATGCTGATGTTTGCTAACTTGTCACTGTATTCTTCAGAAATGCTTAGTGTAGCTTTATTAACTTGGGAATGTAGGCTATGAATCATATGAAATTTGCCAGTGTAACAAAATAATAGTGGTGTAATGAAGTAATTGAAAGTTTCATACTTTTCAGAAATTAATCTTTCAACATTTTTTTAAAAACCACACTAAAGTGAATCTTCAGAGCTGCTCTGTTTTTCATCACACAAAATATTCTGTTTTACCAGTCATATACACACTATATAACATTATGATTAATTAATAATTTTAATACCTTCTGCCTTGATTTGAAAGGTTTTTAAGGGATTTTCAGATAGCTAAATAGCCTTTATTTGACATTTTTCAGATATTGTTTTAAGTTTTCTTGTTGTATATTCATTGATTGCTAGGACATGAAGTATACATCTTATATAATTCCTTCCTTCCTTCCTTCCTTCCTTCCTTCCTTCCTTCCTTCCTTCCTTCCTCCCTCCCTCCCTCCCTCCCTCCCTCCCTCCCTCCCTCTCTCTCTCTCTCTCTCTCTCTCTCCCCCCCTTCTTGCTTTCTTGCTTTCCTTCCTTCTCCTTTTCACTTGGCGCTAAATATCAAAACTGGGAGCATGTTATATTAGCATTATAAAAATATTTTTTTCTGGCACTTAATCAGTTTCTTTTTTATGAGTCTTTAACCATGACTTACATATACTTCATTGTACAAGCTAAATAAATTGGTGATGTCTCTAAAAAGTTTATTTAAGATGGAACACTTAGACTGATTTAGTGCAAATTGTTAATTGTTACTTACACATAGAGTCATTGTTCACTTCTTACTTTTCAATGGAGAGTTTGGCTGTGGAAATTATTAAATCAACTGATATGTCTAAGACAAATTCAACTCCATAAATCTTATCCAATTCTGTTTATCTGGAATAGACATCAGTGGTGGATTCTTCCTACCTTATGAAGGATTATAAGGTCCCCATGTCACTGCCCTGCCCCTCATCTATGTGAGATTTAGACAGCTGTCTGGCTAATATTAAAGATAAAGATAATGGATTAAGATGTCCGTTCTATTCCCTATAGTAGATTTTTGACAAGCTGTAGATAACAATGTAAAAATAAAATGGTTCTACTTTGTCATTTGTGACTGTCAACAATAGAATTTGGGGTATATCAGAGCTTAATGCTTTAGCAAAATCTAAGGTTTCTCAGTTAAGATTATGGAAAATTCACATAGTTCCTAGTTAAGGAGGAGCTCTGCATGACCAAAAGCCATATGCTGAACCAACTTAACAAACTTGATTGAATAAAAGTTTAACTCTTCACCTAGTTCCGTAATTTCAACAATATGCCATCCTATGAGGCTGCAACTCAAATGAACCAAACCCCATTTGAACCCAAAGTGCTGATCTCATTTGGGGGTAAATAATTCTTATGCTGTACATACACATGTATAAGCCCAGTGGTGGGATTCAAATTTTTTTATTACTGGTTCTGTGGGTGTGGCTTGGTGGGAGTGGCAGGGGAAGGATATTGTAAAATCTCCAGTCAGAGGTGGTATTTGCCGGTTCTCCGAACTACTCAAAATTTCCGCTACTGGTTCTCCAGAACTGGTCAGAACCTGCTGAATACCACCTCTGGTATAAGCCCATCTGCAAATAAGCCAAACCTGATATTTAAAGTATATGTTTGGCACTTAAAATTCTTGGCTTATCTGTGATTATATCAGGTAAATCATATGTAATTGAAAAGAGACTTTGAGTTTTAGTTGAAGAAAAAAGTGCACCTCAACTATTTGCAGTTCAATGTGATAGAAGAAAAATGAAAGAGATATGTAGGCTAGCAAGGTGATCCCTGAGGGTATGACCATGCCAAAGGTACACTTCTGCAGAATAGTGTTCAGCCTCAGATGGACGTCCCCAAAGTGCTTTTCAAAAGGCAACTGAGCTTTCTTGATTTTTTTCTTGAGAACATTTCGCTTCTCATCCAAAAAATCTTCTTCAGTTCTCTCAGCTTCTTCAGTTCCCTTTTCATCCACAAAACTTGAAAAATGTTTTTTTTAAACGTTCTCAAGAGGAAAAAAGAACCCCAACCCAAGATAGTTCATTTACCTTTTGAAAACATCTTTGGGGCAACCATGACCTGGATGATCAAGAATCTCTATAGACTCTTAGATGGAAGGTAAATAGCTTGACATAGGGATGTTAAGGCATAATGTTTTACCTTGAGTACTATTATGAGAAAACTATTCTAGGATTTCATATGAAAAACATGTTTGCCAATGGGACTTCAACATTTCAGTATTCCATAGGATTTCAATAGTCTATTCAATTTCTAGGGATACTGAAACAGTACTATATGTGTTATTTTACCATGGCATCCACAGGGACATCCACAACATTTACATTTTATCCTTGTTTCCTCAACAAGGAAACCTTTCATTTTCAGAGTTCAAGTCCCTTCTAATCCAAATTGTAGCAAAATACTAGGCAGCAGCAGGAATGAAAATGAAGCACTAATGCAAAGTGTCCCATAGTTTCAATGCTGTTTATCTGCTGTCCATCTCAATGCCCTCCAATGTTTTGTTTTATTTACTACCTTATAATGGTCCTAGACTTAGGTCATCATAAATTGTTATAATGATCATGGTTATTTGAAATTTTGGGAGCATTGCAGAACACATATTAATAATGTTAAAAAGATTTCTGGATTTAAAATTTCAAAAGTAAAATAAAATAGTTTGGTATAATTGTTGCCTTACTGGAAGTAAAAGAGATCTTTGATTTCTACAGGGAATTGTTCCTTTTGTTTGTTGATTTGGCTAAAGGTTAAGCCACAATGCATCTTCTAAGCTGATGTATGAATAAAATAGTTAGAACACTGATTTGTAATCCTATCCTGTGGCTACAAGTTCTGCTCTTCTTGTAAATGTCATCACTTTCTCTGTCCTATCTGTTTATATCTGAGTCATGAGGTGCTGACAAAAAACCCCTGCACTTAATGTGAAACCTGAGGCATTTTGCTAATTCCAAAGATATTCTTAATTACCAATTTGGCATTTAGCTGATAAATAATCTGCACATATGCAGCATTTCTTTTTTTGTGGCTCTACTATATTTTTTAAAGTTTCAGTACTCAATTGTTAAAATATAAGTTACCAAAGTCATATTTTCTTGGAAAAAATAAAAGACAAACCTGAAAGGGGGCAAGGCTGAAAGAGGTTAATAAAGATTAAAAAAAATAATTGTTTATATCTATAAATTTCCTTAATGAAGGAAAATTACAAAAACAAAAGCAAAAATACTTTACAAAAACACACATTCTAATAAAAATATCTAAAATATTTTAAAGACAATTCAATGTCCATGTTTTTCATATGAATGTGAAAAATGGTGCACAAAGTGGTGCGATTTATACAATGCAAGTAAATGACCAAAATGAAGGACAAAAGTGAGTTGTTGAAAAATAAATAAAACTAAAGGATAGCTTTCTGAAATAAAGGACTGTGTTAAGTGGGAAAAATCAGGAAATCCAAGCAGTTCAAATGAACATCAAGCTTAAATGTTTTACAAGAATCTGAACTATTAATGGTCAAATTGGGGTGGTGGAAAAGAGTCAGTGGAACTCAAGGTAGGCTGGATGTAGTTATCTTGTGAACATGAAAGGACTCAAGACTGATGATGTGTTTGATCCCTCCCTTGAGTTCAGTCTGCTCATCTCATACAGACCATACTTTATAATAAAGGACATATGGTCACTGTAATAGAACTGGTAATCAGTAGGTCCTGACCAGTTCTGGAGAACCGGTAGTGGAAATTTTGAGTAGTTTGGAGAACCGGTAAATACCACCTCTGACTGGAGATTTTACAGTATCCTTTCCCTTTCATGCCCACCAAGCCACACCCACAGAACCGGTAGTAAAAAAAATTGAATCCCACCACTGCACTGCAAGTATAGGTGAACAAAACTTACCATCTTTCTTTGCAGCCCAAGTTATTAGCAAAATCAGGGTATCTTTCTGCATAGGAAGTTTGAACTTTAAAACTGTTGAAATGCTTTGAAACTGTTTTAGCATAAATGAAGAAGAAATAATACAAACATTTTTCTAATGTGATTTATAATTAAGTTTAATTTCCAACCTTTGACCTCTTTTTATTTTCAGCCATGGGACAGGATATGAAAGTGATAATCACGCAGCCCCGATGTTATACAGCTGTGGGGCCCAATACAGAATACATACCCATGGAGTGTTTAGAGGAATTCAAGTGAGTATATTAAGGAAAGTATATAATTTTGGACTAATTACCTGGCTGCTTTGATAATAGCAAGAAAACACTATATTTTCTTTTTATTAGAATATAGTGTTCACTATATAATAACTAAATGGAAAATGTTTATCTATTGCTGACATTCTAATTTGCTCCTTTTTGCTGAGAAATCTTCCAGATATATTGAGTTACAATTCCCATGATTGCCAAACAACATTGAATAAAAATCATGATGGAGATTTATGGGTGTTGTTGTAGTCCAATACTGGGAGGGCTTTCCTGCAAGCAGAAAAGTAATGTGAAGGAAAAATGAAGGATCAAGCATTTTCTCTTGTGAAATGCTAATACAGCCTTTGGGATTGTAGTAAACTGTTTACAATTTCCTTTATGACATGAAACAAAGTAACAATTTCAGGATCTGATACTACTTATATTTTGGAGAAACTTAAATGTCTGTAGGAGGTCTTGTTGCAGTATAGTAGGGGTGAGGGGTGATTTCCCTCCCCCCAACCTTGGCAACTTTAAGACTTGTGGACTTCAACACCCAGAATTCCCCAGCTAGCCATCCTGTCTAGGGAAGTGTGGGAGTTGAAGTCCACAAGTCTTAAAGTTGCCAAGGTTGGATACCACTGCACTATAGTTTTTACAGTTCTCTGACGAGCCCATATATTGTATGTAAAACCTTCCTTTTTATGCCATCATAGGATATGCGGCGGATGTCTGGAGTGGCTCCAACAATTGTTAGATCAGCAGGCGACACAAATGAAAAGCGACCTTTCATGTGTGTGTATCCTGGCTGTAACAAACGATATTTTAAACTGTCTCATTTACAGATGCATGGTAGAAAACACACTGGTAAGTATCTTCCTGGAGCACTGAAAAAAGTGATTTGTGACAAATTTTCACATGACCATTGCAGCACTCCCCTTTGGTCACCTGATCAAAATTTGGATGCTTGTGTTCTGACCCAAGCCTTGTTCAAATTAAACAAACACAAACTGTGTATAAAAGCAAACCTTTTTTAATGCATTCCCAGCCAAGAGTCATTTAAACCTAATTGTCCAAGATAAAAGCAAGTCCTTTCAAGGTTGTAAAAGACTGCCAAGAACAGAAGTCTAATTACTGATAAATATCGACTGACAGAAGTTTCAAAAACAAATGGGAGTTCGCAGGGCTTCAACGAGGACTCAGAGTCTAAAGAACTTATTTGCTTCCTGCAAAGAGCACATTCCCGAGGGCTGGTTTTTATCCCTTATGGGAGGGACCATCACCTTCCAGCCTTACTCCCGAGTCGCCCTTGCTGCTTCAGCTGCTCTCTCCTTTGAGCAGCCGTGCGCATACATGCTCTGGGCACAGGCTCCCCGGGGTCCTTTGCTTCACTGCTGCCAGATTCTAAAAGCTCTGAAGGCAGCACCCCACTCTCCAATAGTCCTGGCCCCATCCCTGCATCAGACACAGGACCCTCATCCAAGTCCTTGACAGACTCCCTGACTGGTTCCCTTTCGTCCTCGCTGCCAGAGACCTCTGCCATCTGCACCTGCTGCTGGCGAACCACAACAGCTTGACAACGGGCATGTATTTATGACAGTTGCACTGTCCTCAGTCATGTGATTACCCTTTTGTGACCTTATAACGTACAAAGTCAATGGGGAAGCCGGATTCACTTAACAACCACGTTAAGTGTTAGAGACGCTTAACAACCATGTTAAGTGTAAGATTCAGTTAGCAACTGAGGCAAGAAAGGTTGTAAAATGGGGCAAAACTTACTTAGCAACTGTCTTGCTTAGCAATGGAAATTTGGGGCTCAGTTGTGGTTGCAATTTGAGGACTACCTATAATTTTACATTTGAATGTTACAAAAAGATATGGCACATGTTTTAAACCTTAACTTTACAGATTGCAGTGAAGTGAACTGTAGTTCACAGAAGTGTGCATCATAACACATCTAGTGACTAGTCTTGTTGATACCTTTTTTTAAAAGAAGGGTATCCTTCTAAATGAGTGAATAATATTTTCTTGTGGGTTCTCATAGTGTATGGTTCTTAAAATGTAGCTTCAAATTTTATTGGGCAGAGAAATGGAGCAGCTGAATAGCAATTAATTTTAAAAAAAGAAGAAGAAAAAAGGAGTGAGTCATAAGATTTTCCTTATAAAACAACTGATTCATTACACTTCCTGAAAATTGTTATTTTGCATAGTGTTACTATCTGTGGAACTCTGATGCACAAAGTTGGAATTTGTATCAGTGCTTATCACTGTTTCAGCAGAAATTTTGCTGATATCTCTGTTACCATTATGGTTGTTTACTAAGTCCACTCCTAATATTAGTACTGTTGACCCAGATATAAAAAAGTACTCTTTTCTTGGAACACCCAAAATAATATATTTTTAAAAATCTTTATCAATAATATGGCACCCACTTTTGCCCATTATTAATATGTAGTAGCAACACTGATTTATTAGTTTGCAAGTGATGTATGACTGGAGGATTTTTTTTTAAACACACAAAGTGATACTTAGTTTCAATGAACTTTTTCTTCCCAGCAAAACTCAGTTGTAAGCAAACTGAATACAATAACTCATCACTTTGAAGATAAAGTTTTTGTAACAGATTATCTGTGCTGAAAATAATAATTCCATTAAGTAACAATATTTATATTAATGGAGTTTTTTTTAAAAAAAGTTAAAACAACTCTTCGAAGAAATAGAAAAATGGCCGTGAAGGATGCAAGTTAAACAATAGTAACTTTCTTTCTGATTTCCTTTATACAAAACTAAATTTTGAACCTACTCAACTCATTTTATACAGACTGAAATTTCTTTGTTGGCTTTACTCCAGAGCTGATTTGCTGTTAAGAGCTCAGATTCTCTCACTCGGGTTTCTCCAGATATATTGTAACTACAATTTTAATTAGAATTTGGTTTATATATATTAGTGGATTACATCTCAGTACGGTCCACAACAAAGATGGTGGCATTATAATGCAATTGTTTCTGATCATCCAAGATAGGGAACTAGGTTAAAAGCATAAATGCCTAAGTTAAGCCTAACTACATCAATGCAATTTTCTTGGCAGTATTATGGAAAGGGTTTAGGCAACAATCCTGAAATTCCCAGGCAGTTTCTTCATCCAAGTCCAACTAGGACTGACCTTGCTTAGCTTCTAAGATCAGCCAAGGTTGTCTGAGTTCACTGTCTGCTGAGACCATAGACTAGTAACTACTTATGAGGAAAAATAACAACACATTTAACTCTTAAAAACACGCTAAACCACAAACCTAATGCTCATTACCTTGCTTGGGTTCTACAGTATTGAGATAATTTCAGGGGTGGGATTCTACCAGTTCGCACCTATTCGGTAGAACCGGTTGTTAATATTCTAAGCAGTTCAGAGAACCGGTTGTTAGAAGAAATTACTGGCCTAATATTGTAAGGAAGGCAGGAGGGAAACATTCTGTTGTTGCTTACAGAAACTGCCTCTCCATTAACCCTTATTACATTCTTGGCAGGGCTAGACTTCCTGTCTCAGGAACGTCTCTGGAGTTTTTTTTCCCCCTCCTTTGCTGGTACTTTGCTTGTGTGGAGTGACCATTCAAAGTTACTTATGACCATTTTTCACACTTACAACTGTTGCAGCATCCCCACAGTCATGAGAGGCCAGGCGAGGAGATGCGTGCCTCGATGTGAGTGATATTGAGTTGGCCACACCCAGCCAAAAACATGACCACCAAGCCATGTCCACCCAGTCACATGACCACCCAGCCACACCCACCACCTAAGCCATGCCCACAGAACCGGTTGTTAAAAATTTTGAATCCCACCCCTGGATAATTTGCTAGGGATGCCAAATTTTCAGATCCTGCTACAACTTCCAGAACTATAACTTGAATGAAAAAAACACATTTTGTAAAAACTTTCTGTTGCTGGACTTAATGCTGCTTCAGATTTTGGATCAGCTAAGCTAATGGAGGAATTCGCTGTGAAGCTCAATTTTCCATGTATTGATATACACTAAGGATGAAAAGAGCAGGTGATCAGGCTAGGGACACCTCATAACTTAGCTAGGGACTTACTATGTGATTTTTCTTAATTAGTGTTTAGAATGTTTATCCACAGAAGTTATAAATAGGACTGAACAATCTGTTGTTTCCTTAAAAACTTATATGAAAAAGCATATCTTTGCCTTAATTAATAAACAAGTGTCTATAAAAAAGGTGTTTCTTTATTATAACCCCAAAGCAATTAAACAAGATTCTCATGATTCTCTTCTCTAAACAATGTTCAATTCCCTTCCTGAACATTTGGCTATTTTTTCAGGGCTGATTCTTTGTCACAAGTATTCATTGTTCCATATACACATTCTAGCACTGGAATTATTTGATTGCAAATGCATGGATTTTAACTGTTGCCTGAATAACCTATTCTGTCTCTTACAAATATTTATTTATTTTTAGATGCTCATCTTAGTGAATGACTTTGGCAGTTAACAATAAGCAGTTAAAATATTAAAACAATTCATTTGTTTTATTTAGTATATTTCTATAGCCACTGATTTCACAAAAATGTGACTCTGGGCAACATACAATATAATAGTTAAAAGCCCCATAGCAATCTAAAAACAGTAAAAACTAAATAAAATAAACAGAAATATAAAAAGGATGCATCAAATAAATCTCAATTACTAACACCATCTTTTTTTCACACACTCAGAGCCTAGGCCTTGGCACAATAAATGGTTTACACAATTCCGACCATTTATTTTTAAGTTAGAAAGTGGAAACATCATTTCTTTTTTTAAAAAATTAATACTTATATTATCTTTTCTCTAAAGATAATCCATTGCACTATTTCTATATTACATGTGACAGTTCTTGTAATGTGTTAATTGAGGTTTTATTTAATGCCTACAATGCTATTTACTTCTTTCAAATAAATTTGTTTTTTTTTTAAGGAGAAAAACCGTATCAGTGTGACTTTAAGGACTGTGAACGAAGATTCTCTCGTTCAGATCAACTCAAAAGGCACCAAAGGCGACATACAGGTTTGTTGCATATCTGAGCTTTTGACATTTGTTGCAATTTGCAGTTTCTCTTATCAAGGATATGTGAAATGGAGTTGTAATTTTTTTTTTTTGCTTTTAAGAGCAGTAAAGGCTGGGACTATGACCTTTTATGTGTTTGTATAAGTTCAGAAATATACTACAAAGAAGCAGTGCTGAACTTAGGTTGTGATTATTTATATGCCCCTTAAAATATAGTAATGTTAGTATAGATCAGTTAGACTGTATCTTGGGAAAAGCGTTTGTGCCTTAGATGTAGTGAGATGTCATAATTTGATTATTTATAAACATATCTGCTGAGCATAGGTGATCCTGGAAACTAACCTTTTGGCCTGAAATGCTGGGAAGTAATTCTTTCCCTATGCTGGATAAATAATGTGGGGAAGTATATTGGTTATATTCCTTGATAGTTGAAGTAATAACTTCACACAGTAGTTATTGAAGTAATAACTACTTAACAAATCTTAAGACGTTCAATAATTTTAATTATAAATGATACTGGTGATTCTCAACTTATGACTATTGCTTTAGCAACCGTTCAAAGTTATGGCAGTGCTGAATGAAGGGACTTAATGTTACAGTGCCTCATGGTCATGTGATCAAAATTTGTGTGCTTGGCAGTCCACCCGCACTTACGACCTCAGGATGCTGCAATTTTTCTCCAGCCACCTATCTTTTCCCCATCTTTGCCCTCCTGCTCTCTGTGGCCCTTGTCACTCTAGCTGACCTTTGTAGTCTTCTTTTCTACTGCAGCTGAGCAAGCATACCCAGCCTGATCCTTTGCAAGGCAATGCTGGCCACGTGATGCTTTTTTCTCCAGGTCTGACATAGTGATTGCCTCTTGAGACTTGAGGAAGATGGCCTCATATAGCTAGAAGTTGCCTCGTGAAGGACCAGGCCTGGCATAACTCATCATTAGTGGGAGGAAGATGGTCAGCTCGGATGGCAGAGTTCAGGATAAGAGGGGGTTTTAGAGTGCAGGACAGTGAAAGGGGCTGGGCTGAGCCAGCTGGGGCTTCTTAGGATGAGGTGACAGCTTCGCAATGCATCGCTGGGCTTCCTGAGGTGGCAACAAAAGCAGCAACAGAGCGTAAGCAAAAGCGTAATAAAAGCCAGCCAGTCTTCATTTCTGATATTCCTTAAAAGAACATCAGTGACTTTTCAGTAATATTGCCCACAAAGGCAACATTCAAATCAAAACACTAGGGATAGGAAGACTCCCAGAGTTCCTAAAGCATGCAAGCACAGTTTTATCTCAATTTTAATACATTTATCTTTCCAAAATAAAATAGTGCTGAACACATCCCAGTCCTGTCGCTCTTCACCAGTGGCTCCCAATCTTTTGGGTGCCAGGGCACTTGTCTGTGGTCAGAGGTTTTTCCATGGACTGGAAGGTGTGTGGTTTTGCATTCTGACTGCAATCCCGTGGATGGGACTTCACTTGTTTGTGCGGACCTGTTTCTGGCATGCTGCGGACTGGTGCTGCTCCATGGACTGGGGGTGGGGACTTCTGCTCTACATCACACACCATAATCCCACCAATTTCCTATGTATGTTTGGAGTCTGCAGAGACATTGTCAAACTTCATGAATTGGAATCACTGAATCCTTACAAAAAGTCCTATTCTGGTGCCGCCATCTTACAGAAGAATTACAAAGGTTGCATCAGTTCCTTGCAGTCCCACCATTACTTTGTGAAGTAACTAGAGTTATTCAATGTATTCTAACTCAGGTCATCAGTCCTAATCCAAATACATTGGACAGTATAAACAAACATACTTCATGTTTTACAGCTTACTTTTTGCACTGCAGTCTAATGAAAGAAAAGCTCTTGTGCTTGTGTAAGGGGTATAGAGAGTGACTTTGAGGGAGAGAGGGAAGATTCATTATCAAAGCAACAAATATAAATGTACCTTAAGCCCAAGGAAGTCATGAATAAGGGCTGTCATTTCCCTAATTCTCAAGAAGATTAAAAAAGGGAGGAGGGAAAGCATATTCTGAATTAACGTGACACTGATACTATGGTCACTGTAATAAAAGTAGGACAATTGGCATCAGTTTCTCACTCTGGTCTACCTTATAGGACTGAGAGTTTGTTTCAAACACATATTTTGAAAGTTGTATATAGTTTCAATAAAGATGGATCAACAGCTAATTGTTCAAATAGAAATAAAAGTCATTCAAGTTGAATAGGGTTTAGGTAACTAATATGACTTCAGCCTTAGTATTTTTTTAAAAAAAACACCTGATATTTTAAGAAATAATGAGAAAATATATCTATGCAATGACATGCTTGCATAGATATGTACAGATTAGGAATACTTTATTATTTATTTCATCATACTTATATGGCTGCTCATATTTTAGAGTGACTAAATTAAATAGTATACTAACAAGAGATTTGGAGCTCCTTTATGGACAACTGTAAGTAATCTTAGAAGAGAGGTGAAAGGAATATCGTGATAGATATTACGTACACAGTTAATTTTTAAAGAATCTTCTAAATAAACTCAGATTCCTTTTTTTTAAAAAAAGCACACCATGTGTAAATTTTTAAAAAAGCGCTTGGATATGTGAAGAATACTGTACTGAACTGAAATGGAAAAAAAAGTGCACATTATTAAAGGACAGTTTCAAAGTGAATTGAGAAATAACAACCACAATCACGTGATGTTTCTTATTTCCAATTTTTCAAGTTTTTTCACTCCAAAGTGAATTAATGCTTCCATTTTTTGCCAGAAACCAAGGCATGGTAAAAGCACTAAATGGAGTTTAAAAGGACAAGGAGGCTGAGAAAGGTCAGATAGTTGAGTTGCTTGATTAATGCGACTAGAGAAGGGAAGGTTTGTAGTTGGGGAGGGGGAGGGGAAATGGCAATTGTCAAATAAAAGTAAAAGTCTATGTTTTTGAAATTCAGAAGAACTGATTATTCTTATATCCCTGTGAAGGTTTTAGAATACAAGAATAGATTTATTTTATGTATTTAGGAGTCAAACCTTTCCAGTGTAAAACCTGTCAGAGAAAGTTCTCCCGATCTGATCATCTGAAGACTCACACCAGGACTCATACAGGTAAAACAAGTGCGTATACTTTTTTTCCCATTTATATATTCTTATTTATTTTATTTAAAGTGAAATTATGATATTTCTATGAAATTATTCTAGGCATATGTGATATTTATATGTCTTAGCTATTAAAAGAAAATAATGCTTAGGACGGGGGGGGGGGGGGTATTTAACTTTGGCAACTTTAAGACTTGTAGACTTCAACTCCCAGAATTCTCCAGCCAGCCTTGGGAATTCTGAGAGTTGATATCCTCAAGTCTTAAAGTTGCCAAGGTTGGACACACCTAACTTAGAGCAAAACCAAGAATCATGACTATTATCCTTTGGCAGAAGGATTAAATTCCAGTGACAGAGTTTACAGTTGCCCTATTTGTCTTTTTAACTCAACTTAATTTGAGGCTGCAACTTCTAGCCAACATTCTAAATAGGACACACAGACCTAAATCTTACTGTGTTTCCCTGAAAATAAGGCCCACCCTGAAAACAAGCCCTAGCCTGATTTTTCGGAGGGGGACTAATAAAAGCCCTAGCTTGAAAATAAGCCTGGGGGATGGGCGTGGCCAGCACAAGTGGCGGCAAGCACATGGGGGCTGACAGCATCGCCAGTAGCTTCAGCTCACCGACCCTTTAGCACAGCACAAATACTGATAAGTCCAAGCATGGAGGCAGAGGGAGGGGGGAGAAGACAGGTGATCCAGATGTGTTGTGTGTCTGCCTGACTCAAAGGAGGCTCGCGGGGGGCTTGTGCAGCAGCACTGGCAGCAGGTGGAGGAAGAGGCATAGGAGATGGGGATGGCAGGTGATTCCCAACGCCCCATGTGGGTGCTTGTTTGGTGCGGCCACAAGCGAGCTGCGAAAGTTAGGATGGAGTGGGTGGCACATTGGGAACACCTCTACCTCCGCCTGGGTCTGCTGTGCACTTTTCACCCAGAGGGAGGTAAGCTTTGTCTGCTTGCAAAGGGGCAAGGTTATCTACACATGCTGGTACAGATTCAGGGCGGAGACTTTATCTAACCACCCTGATCTCTGGACCACAGATTTATTCAACTGAGGGTTTAAACAGGGAATTGAATCCCTGTTGCTAAATGTACATATATTATTATTATTATTATTGCAAACTTTCAAGAGGCTATGGTAGTACCATAAAAAGTAATGTAAAACCTTACTGGCTATTTTTCCTTTAAGCAACCTTATGAAACTTGACTATTCTCAGTCAAAAGGGGTTATAGTATTATAATATATTATATTATTATCTTTTGTAAATATATATTATACAAATATAAATGTATGTATAATATAATATATAAAATAATAAAAATGTTCAAACCATGAATAGATATAATACTTAAAGAGAACATCCTTTTATAAATCTAAAAGTAGTGGAAGGATTAACTGAGAAAATAATCTACTGAGCACCTTCTACATAGGATATATACTGGAAGCTCTCTGTATGAAAATTTTGCAAACATATAGAACACATTTTTATTTAAAAGCAATAAAAACCGAGAGATTGGAATCTTTGAAAAGTTGAACATGAGCTTAATGAAGCACCCTATTATCAAAAGGTAGGCATCTACTTCAACACTAAGCTGTGATGGTGCAGTGGTTAGAATGCAATGTTACATGCTAACTCTGCCCACAGCCAGGAGTTCGATTCTGATCAGTTCAAGGTTTCTATCCTTGCAAGTTTGGTAACAAGATAGGGGCAATCAGTTGACATATATCTAAGTAAACCACTTCGAGAGTGCTGTAAAGCATTATGCAGTAGTATATAAGTCTAAGTGCTATTGCTGTTTAACCAAAGTTCTAGGAGGGGATAAGGCAATAGTATGTAGAAGGATTATGATGATAATGTATAACTGTACATTTTGTTAACAGGTGAAAAACCTTTCAGCTGTCGGTGGCCCAGCTGCCAAAAGAAATTTGCTCGTTCTGATGAATTGGTCCGTCATCATAATATGCACAACAGGAACATGACTAAACTTCAACTTACCCTTTAGATGTTTCATACTTTTTGCACAACCCAGATGGAATACTATGAACTGTTGCAAACATTTTCAACTATCATCTCTTTGCTCGTAAGGAAATCTTCAGATGCCTTCAGCTTGGACTTTGGAATTTTCCATTCCAAACCTCAAATGGTTTAAATTTGTAACATTATTATATAACTACATTGGCTAGGTTACACTTTAAATTTTGCTATAGACTCTAGTTTATGTATATTTGTTCTTTCCTTCAGAAGATTTTGTACTTGTTTTTTACTTGAAATTTGTCACAGTGCTCAGTCATACTCATACATCATGAATGGTATATGCAAACGTCAATTCATGCTGCAGTCTTGTACAATATATAGTCAGATTAATAACCTCCACATTATCCAAGGCAGCACAATTTTATTCTCTTTAGAGAATTTTTACATAAGCGAACTAATCCAAATCCTCACTTGCAATTCTCAGAACTATGGATGTAATATTTTTATATAGATAAATAGATATAAACAACACATCTGAGAGGTGAGGATAATTGCATCTCCCACTGTGCACTGAAATGTTGCATCTCACAATTTTTGTGTGAGGTTCCCACGTATCATTACATTGAAGGTAGAGGATATATAAGGCGAATTGCCTATCATGCGAGGCCCTTTCAAACTCCATTGAATATTTGTTGTGTGTATGCTTCTGTGTGTGCATGTGTGCATGTGTTTGTGTATGTATAAGTCAGATTGTGCATGCTGTTAACATCTTGATCTGTACATGGTTATTTACCATCATAGAGATGATAAGCTTATACTATATATGTGTATTCTTTCTCTGTGTAATTGGGAATTTTGCCTTTGCAGGATTCCCTGTCATATGGGGACAGCCTAATACACATAGTCATGCATTCATATATTGTGTGCAAATCCTGATTATGTATTATTCCTGACCAATTGCCATGACGATCCTATGTATATTCAGTAAACATGGTCTAAAAGATCTGCCACCTATATGATGCCAAGACTGATAATGATACAACAATGAATTTTTAGTTTATCTTATTTTTGGAAAACCAAGGCGCTGAAAGAGATTTTCTAGAACCTGCTTGTGGAAGAGCAACAGATAATACAGACTTTATTTCTAAAAGTTAAGGAGGGATTATCCCTATGTCTGAATTTTTAAAATATCTTATCCATCACATTTGCATTTATATATGCAATCTATCATTCCTTTTTTGCCCTGATAAAAAAGCAGAAAGTGACAATGTATGTGAAATCTTTTCAATAAGTTGACAATGCAATCTTGTCCTAAAAATAACAACCACTGAACTCAATTGGACAGACAATGAGAGTCAATATACATAAAAGTGCTCTGTTGAATAGTACTACTATTCTTTGATGTAACAGAATGCCTTTTCCAAATTTGATGATATCAAAGGATTCAATATTTTTTGTACTAACAATGAGATTCTTGCACCGAAGTTGACTGATTTTTATAAATAGCTGTCATGTAGAAAAATTGTATGATTTTTTTTTGTATTGTGAAGCTGGTCTAATTTGAGAATAGGTCCTTGCACAACATATGGTCATGTAATTATAGAAATTTAGGACTTCTTTACCATGCAGCCATGCTGGTTATATGGCTAGCAAGTTGTATAAAATTAAAATTGAACTTAAGAGGCTGGTCCAGATTTTCCATTAACATATGGCTCTTAAGCTTAAACAAATAGCTCTTAAGTGACTTGAACCTCATTTACAACTATATGTGCAAGAAACCCAAAAATAAAATTTAAAAATGCCCAGTGTGAGGAAATATATTATTTCAGGATTTGAGGTTTATTATTTACTATTAATTGATTCAAATGGTGTATATATCTCTATCTATAAATATATATATATCAAGTAATGTATTTGCTTTTAAATAATTAAATTTAGAAAGCAAATAAACATGAGATTTGTCAGGAATCAGAAATTCCTGAAAAATATGAATACCATAAAGAATGTACCTTTATTGTTCACTGAGCTTTCAAATAAAGCCCATTTAAAAAGAAACAAATAAGAGTCCAACAGATGTCTTATTTCATGGCATATTAGGTTTTAAATTTCTTCAATAGTGTTGGCTTCTTTTGTATATAAAGGAAAATCAGAGTGACCACTAGTTAACCTGTTTAGGTCTTGACCACAATCTATCCTTCTCACTGGGGAATTGTACTGACAACAGTATCACATTTCATATTATGTTGTAGAACTTCACTTTTCCCCCCAGACACTTCTTTAAGAAAAAGACCCCAAAACCACACTTGTATTGGTTTCATTTGCCTTCAGTGAATTATTTCTGCTATTTTGGAACAGATTTCAATACTTTCAGTGCAAACTTAATGTAGCTATGCCAGGGTAGGCATCTCAGTTTATTCCCTGTAAAATCATAACCTCATTCTACAATCCTTACAAAACTGGAGGTGCGCTCTACAGTATATTGTTAATCATAAATACATTTTTATTACAAAATTCTTCTAGTGGAGCCATGCTATCACATGAAAAATGAATGTACTGTGAGTTTTATCCTAGTAACATTTCTTATAGTTTAATTTAGAAATAACACATAGATCAAGATCTCCTAGTCATTTTTATGGAGAGCATTCAATGCAAACCCCACTTATTAGATATTTAGATAGACAGGAAACTATAATTTCCATTACCCCAAACAACTTTGGCCAACATTCCAACCTACATATTTATCTTGATACAAGTACATGATAACTATGTTTTACATAGTAATTTGATGACATGAATATTCTTGCTGTTGGTAGTAAAGTATAAAAATGAGCAGAAAATATATTTGCAACCAAACATTGGATTTTACCAAGCAGCTAAGATATGCTTGGGCATATGGCTTTAATTTGTTTTTATCTTAAATTTAACCTGTATTTTTTTCTTAAAAATATGATGACAACATTCAATTTTTCCATATTCAGATATAAAACAAAAAAGCACTAAAGTGAAGTGGCTTAATTCCCTTCATTGAGTACAGCTGCATCTTCTAGGATAACACAGCAGTTAATTCTTCAAGTCGTCTTTCTTGCTTGGGAATTTAATCACTATTTCAAGGGAACTGTGACTCATTTGTATCAGTCAGTTTTATCTTTTGCTGTCAAAAGACAGCGTGCCTCTGGAGAAACTCATAGCAAGAATGGCAAAAAAAGGTTTGGAAAAAGTAGGCTATGTATGCACACATATTCATTTTTATTCTACACCTTTTTATTTAAAGCAATTTTCCCCTGCTTTTCAGTCAGCATTATCTGTTCTATTAAAAATGAATAATCAGATGGTACCAGTCTTCATGATCCCAATCTAAAAATTTAAAAAAAAAACCCTTAAGAAAAAGTTATAAGGAAAGAGATATTGGGAGAAGATTCTCCCATACTAATACAGTTGCCTAGGTAAACAGAAAGCCCTTATGATAATATTTACATACCTATATACAAACACCCAACCTAGTTGCATACTCCAAGTTAAGTACCTATTGCTTCAACTTTAAACTTCTTAATGAAAAGTTCTGACTTCAAAGGAATATAGAAATATCCAAAGGGATATAGAATGGGCTCATTTTCCAAAGCACCAGCAGGCAAGACAAGAAACAATGGATGGAAATTAATCAAGGAATGAAGCAACCTGGAATTAAGAAGAAACTTCCTGAACAGTGAGAACCATTGGATCAAGTTGCCTTCAGAAATTGTGGGTGCTTCATCACTGGAGGTTTTTAAGAAAAGATTAGACAGCCACTTGTCTGGAATGATATAGGGTCTCCTGCTTGAGCAGAGGATTTTCTAGAACAGGGGTCTCCAACCTTGGCAACTTTAAGACTTGTGGACTTCAACTCCCAGAGTTTCTCAGCCAGCTTTGAAGTCTACAAGTCTTAAAGTTGCCAAGGTTGGAGACTCCTGTTCTAGAACAGGGGTTGCCAACCTTTTGGACCTCAGGGACCACCAAACTCATAATTTTAAATCCCAGGGACCACTATCCAGTTCTGTGGCCTAATTTGTGGGTGTGGCTTGGTGGTCATGTGACTGGCTGGGCATGGCTTGTATGTAAATATTATAAATATTTATATAAATATTCAATTTTTTATTGAAAAAGAGCAACTTTTACCCAAAATCAGGCAAAGCAGGCAGGCAGATTAAGTTGCTCACAGAATCACAGATTCATTCAGAGATCTATCTATCTGCCATTGGCTAGCTCAGTCTATCACATAAAATTTGCTTGCAAGCAAACTCATAAAATTAACTCACAATACACCATGTATGTAAATATTGAGGGTTTTTTTATGAAAAAAGAGCAACTTTTACCCAAAATCAGGCAAAGCAGGCAGGCAGATTGAGTTGCTCACATAATCATTCAGTGATCTATCTATCTGCCATCGGCTAGCTCAGTCTGTCACATAAAATTTGCTTGCCATGAGTCTGCACTGAATAATAAAACCTTCAGTCCTAAGGGAGGTTCGGCTGTGCTTAAAAGCAGAGCTGAAGATCTAAAGATTAGCTAGAAAGCAAGAAATCCATTTCCTGCTTCCTAGCTAATCTAAATCTCTGAGCACAGCAGAACAGCTGATGGTCGGGGAAAAAAAAGGAAAAATGGCAACTTAGCAGGCAAGTTTTCCAGGTAAGGAGTGAGTGGGCATGGAGGGTTCCTGCAGGCCATGTGGGCTGTGCAGCCTTTTGTTTTTGTGCAGCGTGGATTAATTGCTTTGGGGGTGTGTGTGCTCTGGGGGTGAGATTTCTCTGTGACCCACCACGGCCCACTGGTTGGCGACCGCTGTTCTAGAAGACCTCCAAGGTCCCTTCCATCTCTATTCTGAGTAAAAATAGTGCCATTTTTAATATAATGCACACTTTTACCATTTGTATCCCATAGGAATATTTGGGAACATTTATACAATAAGCCAAACACAGTTAAAGAAAGCCAATTTTTCCAACTCAACTTGATTTCCCATCTACTTAAAAAGAAACCAAGCACATTTTCAGATGA